CACATGGAATGTGAGGGCATTCCCACCTCACTCCTCCCTTTTTCACCCCAAACATCCACATTATCCACCCTCGATCCAGACTGAGCTCCAAGGTCTGAGCCACGGGAGAAAATTCCCTTGGGATTGGAAGGGTGGGTTATGGGGAGATGGGATCAACCCACGGGAGGGAAGCCCACTGGGAGCCACTTCGGGTGCCAAAACTGAAGGTATCAAATCATCTCCCTCCACCTCAGGGGGGCTGGAGAGAACAGGAGGGAAGTTTTACTCCCTCCTCTCCTCTCCTCTTCCCATTCCCACTCCTGGCTGGGATCAGGGAATATCTCCGGAGGGGACGGATCTCTGCGCGAGCTGGCACGGCCCCAAACCCTGCCAGGGCCAAAGGCATCATCACCACCCACTAAAGATTCCTGGGAACTGCCAGGAATTCCCCACCATCAGGAAAACCCGGGAAGCTTTCCCAGGACGTACCTGCTGCCCGGAGCGGAGCTGCCGGAGGCCGGGGAATCCGGGAGCTTGGCTGTTCTCCTCCACGGGGAGGAACACGCAGGATCCATCCTCGTGGACACCAGGGGCCAGCTCGGGCTGCAATCCCGGGATTTGGGAGGCCGCCGCCGGAATTCCGTCGGCGGGGACGCGGGTGCCGAGCAGGGAGCGCTTCCCCAGGCGCCGGGAGAGCACGGTGGCCATGGCACTGAGGGGAGAGGAATACACGGATGTGGGATCCGGAGAGGGATCCTGGACCAAGGAGCTGGGAAAGGCCTGAGCTCCCAGGCGCCCGGATTCCCTGGGGATGCAGTTAGGATGGAGCTCGGAGCCTCTGTTCCCTCTGGAGCTTCCCTTCCCATTCCCTTCCTGGAGCTTCCCTTCCCATTCCCTTTCTGAAGCCTCTGTTCCCTCTGGAGTTTCCCTTCCCATTCCCTTTCTGGACCTTCCCTTCCTATTTCCCTTCTGAAGCCTCCATTCCCTCCGGAGCTTCCCTTCCCATTCCCTTCCTGGAGCTTCCCTTTCCATTCCCTTTCTGGAGTTTCCCTTCCCATTCCTTTCTGGAGTTTCCCTTCCCATTCCCTTCCTGGAGCTTCCCTTCCCATTCCCTTTCTGGAGCTTCCCTTCCCATTCCCTTTCTGGAGCCCCCGTTCCCTCTGGAGCTTCCCTTCCTATTCCCTTCCTGGAGCTTCCATTCCCTTCCTGGAGCTTCCATTCCCATTCCCTTTCTGAAGCCTCTGTTCCCTTCTGGAGCCTCCATCCCTCCGGAGCTTCCCTTCCCATTCCCTTCCTGGATCCTCCATTCCCTCTGGAGCTTCCCTTCCCATTCCCTTCCTGGAGCCTCCATTCTTTCCCTTCCCATTCCCTTCCTGGATCCTCCGTTCCCTCCGGATCTTCCCTTCCCGAGGCTCTTCCCGCCCGTCCCGCTCCAACCCCACAACCCTTTTCCATCCCGAAGTGTTTCTCCGTAACGATCTTTAACCTATTCCGCCCCCGGGGAACCCGGGAATGGGATGTATCCAACCACATCCCTGCTAAATCCAACAGCATTCCAACGGCAGGCGCCGCCTCATTTTGGTGGGTTTTTTTTTGGAGGGGGGATGATCCCGGACGGGAAAAGCTGCCCGGAGGCAGAACAGGGAGCTCTGTCCCAGGAAAGGTTACTCCGAGCCACATCCCACACTTCAAAAGGACTACCCGGGATTCGCGGCCGCTTTTATGGAGAACCCGTCCCGCCCCGGAACGCCGGGTAGAAAATTAACAGCGAGCCGGGAGCCACAAAGGAAGGGAGAGGGAAGAGCGGGCACGGGGGGGTGTGCCAGGGAAAGCTCCTCGTGCCAGGGCTGCCCGCAGGGATTTCTCCTTCCCTCCGGGGCGGGATCAAAGCGGCCGCTCTCCCGGCTCTCCCTCCCTCTCATCCCGCCGGGATTTCCGCAGCGTCGTCCGGGGGTTGTGCTCCTGAACCCCCTTTTTTGTTTGTTTGTTTGTTTGTTTGTTTGTTTTCGACCACCACCACCACCACGCACACCGGGAAAACCTCGCGCCGGGGTATCCCGGGATCCCGAGGTTCTGCGGGAATCGCTGCCGAGTGGGAAGGGAAGCGGTGCCGGAGCTCCTGGCGGGCAGCCAGGAGGGAGGGAAGCGCCGAAGGTGGGGAGGAGGCTTCTCATTTCCTTCGGGTTTTTTGGTGGTTTTTTTTTCGCTCGGCCTTCCCCCTTCCTTCCCCCCTCACCCCCCCCTTTCCCGGGAAGGAGGAGAAGAGAGAGGGGGGGAAGGAAAAACCCTCCCAAACTTTTCGGAGCCGCATCTGCTCCCAGCGGGCCTTTGAACGCCGGATCCCGTTTGGGCACCCCGGGTTTGTTTGTGTGTGTGGGGGGGGGGGGAAACACCGAAGCCAAAAAAAAAATAAAAATATATCCTTCTCCTCCATCCATGTCCCAAAAACACGGAGCGAGGAGAGGAGCGGGAGTTGGGAATATACGGCAGGAGGAGCCGGGAGGCCGCTCTGCCGCCTCCGGAGCCCTCCCAGCTGTTCCCAATCACGCGCCGCAGGGGTCAGAGAGCCGGCACAGATCCCAAATTATTCCCCTTGCTCCGACGCCGGGCGTGTATTTTGGCCGGCGTTTTTCCAGCTCTCGCCGGGGAGCGGGGAGGGGAAAAACGTCAGCCCCTGGTTAGAGTGAGGTTTTGGAAAAGCGGGAGCCCCGCACACCTCGGTTTTCATGTTTTTGTTTTTGTTTTTTTTTTTTAATGGATAAATGGTGGTAAGGTCTCCTCAAGTCCAGCCTAACTCCTGCCACGGATCAACAAACAACCTGGAGCACGAAGTCCAGGCTACAACAGACCCCGAACGCTGCAAGAACCGACGGCGAGCCCAGTTTTTCCTCTCTCCCCTCTCTTCCAAAAAATGCCCCTTCTCATCCCAAAATATCCCGA